GTAACTTTGTAATAGTTTCAACTTGAAGTTATTTTGGGTCTTTGAGAGCAAGAGCTGCGATTGGAGCCCCAGAACAACATAACAATTTCGAACTGAAATTTTGAAAATGTGTTAATATTTTCATATTTTTTTTTCTAATATTTTCATATTTAATCATGTTTGATCAAGAAAACTGTTTGGAATGACTATATATAAAGTTAAGCTTTGTTGAAATTTAGGAATACTCTATTGAATGTGATTCGGAACCACTGATCAAATCTTCGCGAATGATTAAAAATACAAACTATTAATCAATAATAGAGAAAAAAATATGAGAGACTGCTGACAACAACAGTAATAAAAGAATCATGATTTTTTTACTAGACAAAAAAAGTTTGTCACAATCCGATAAAGTTATGGGCAGAACATCACGATTCACGAATCATTCATTTACTAAACACAGTACTCATTAAACAGTTTTCCTTTACACAAAAAAATGAAATCATAAATGAGAATTTATCATCTAGACATGAGCTGATAACTATAAAAGAGTGTGTGCGTCGACAGCAAAAACTGTATCCTCAGTTTTCCCTGTTTTTGTGTATAAAATGAATTACAGAAGTTTTCCAAATATAACTTAAAACTTCAAATCAAATGTATACATTAATTTTTGTTGTCTATTAAATTTTTCCATATTTTTCAATATAATCTTTAATTTTTTCAAATGTTTAGAAAAACATCACTATTGATCAACTCTTTTTCTTTTCAAAAATTACAAAAAAAAACATAAACACTGTAAAATTTCTTTTTATTTATAAAAGTGTCACTGTCATCAATTTCTCAAACCACAATGAACAATTAATTTGGATCTTGTAAAGTTTAAACATTGAATTTTCATCTCTTTTCTCCTTACTTTACACCAACAAATTTCATTTCCTCTCCCATTCATCTAAAATTCTTATAACTTTCATACTTTTTGATTCTTCACTAAGAATCGCCAAACCATTTGTAACTGTTGATCATAGTTTGGGCAATGATAAAGTTTGGAAATGAACTTACACCAAAAAAAATATAATTGTTTGCATAGTTTTGTCACTATTTAAATATGTATCACAGCAGTCTGTTTGTTAATGCACATGTTAGCTTTTGTAGTATACTAAATTTATATTTTTGCTCGCAGTTTTCAGTAGAGTTTTACATCTTTACTTTTTAATAATATTAATAAACTTACGAAAAAAATCTACATATAAAAAGTTAGTTTTACACATGTCAGAGTTTATGATTTTCATAACAAACTTCACTGGAAGTATGCAAGTATTAAATCGTAGTTAGAGTCCATAGTGAACTCTTCTACCGTGTTTGGTAATAAAATACAACCAATTTTGATGAATCGTAGTTGGAATTTACTAAGCTAAAATGATTTCTTTTATTACTTCATTATTAAAATTTATGCATTTTGTCAGAGATCTACTTGAAGACGACATAGTTGTCTTTCGTTCAGAATATTATCTTGTCAACTGTCATTTAATTACTGTATATCATTAAACAATTTAACTATAAAGAATGTCATACTCTTTTTAATCAATAGAAATTTTGTCCTAAGATTCATCACGAGAATTTAAAATACTATCGTGTCTCATATATTATAATCCTTATGGAAAGTTCAGTCTTAAGCTTCTTTTTATTTTAGTTCTTGTTAATTTTGAATATATCTAAATTAGATATGTCGTATAAGGTTTTTACTTCAGAACGTTTTTTCAGAACTAACATAGAACAATATATAGTTTATGAAGCAGAAAGAATATAAGATCATTTAACTTCGAAACCAAAACGATTGAATTAACTAGTGATACTAATTTAGTAGCTAGAGCTATAACTCTTGACATAAATAATAAAACCTAAACTATTTAGATTATTCAACAGGCGATTAATAAACCAAAGATATCGGAAATACATTGAACAGTCAAGCAAAGCCAGTACATCTAAGAAAGAACTTGAGTCAGTCCTACCATTAATTAAAATACTTAAAAGGGAGAAATAAAAATAATTATAGGAAGAGCTATGATCTAATCATATTATAAATGAAGAGATGGTGATTTAATATGTTTAGTCAATTAAACATAAATTTGAAAATTATCAATTAAGTTCATTTCTCCCTTTTAATGATCAATACAATAGTTAATGATCAATATATAATCCGTGCTCTAAAAATTATTTTAGGACACCGTCTAAACAGAAACCGGTCATAACCAAAAAAAAAAAATTTATACCGAAATTTTAAATTTGTAACAATTTTTTTTAAAAAAAAAATCAGTGTAAGCCTTAAATGTCCGTTTAGGCACTAATCACCTTTATAAACACGTAGTTATCGTCTTAAAAAAATGAACACTGTAAATGTGTCTACTAATAAAAAACAGTCAATAGTCAGTCACAATATATGAACATAAAGTTACATAATACCTTAACTATATATCAAATATATGTGTAAAGGCTTTTCAACAAAATTTTTTTTTTAAATTAGGAACTTTAGAGAACGAAAAGCGGAGTCTTAAACATATATTTTAACAAAATTGACGGACTTTATATATTATCTAATTACCATCGTGAAAAGTTTGATTTTATGATTATATTTAGTTTCATTCTAATGAGAGTTCAGCTATAACATATGCATGTAATTAATTAGTTTAGTTCAGATAAAATAAAATAAAAGCAAAAAGAACAAGAACACGAAAGAATAAAAAGGTGTTAACGATGATAAGGGAAATGACTCGGGGGATGACATGAGAAAACAAGCCCATAGAAAAATTGTAGTCTGTGTTCTTAGGAAAGTACTTTGAGAGACAATAAAAGAGAAACTTGTGAAGTTACATGGACTCTTCTGGACGTATGCTTATGGCTTCTCCTCTTATTTTATTTTAAAAAGAATGAAACTTCACTTTAATCTACAGCAAAAACAATACCATTATATGATTTTGTAAAATATATTACTCGTTTGATCGAAACCATACGTAATTATTCTAAAAACAGAAAAGGATGATCGAGCAAAGATATAGACATTTAGATGATATTTAATCAAGAACATTTAGACAATTAGTTTTTTTGGATGATATATGTAAAGCATTGCTACAAATCTTAAAGGAGACAATATTGCTATAGCTTAAATTTATTTCAAGTGCATCCAATACGGTTTTTTTATGATATAAATTTTCTTTGTATCATCATGAAATTTTGTCCCGAAGTTTCATGTTCACATTTGGTTTTTGTTTGGGGCCATACTGGTTCAGATTTTAAGATCCCGGTGTCCGACCAATTTGATTTTAAAATGCAGCCCTAGTCACATCTATCTAATTCTTCAACTTTTTATTCATATTAAAAGTAGATTATAACTAATATTTATTTCCAGTGATAAGATAATAATAATAGTCCAAAGATGCCACCAAATTTTTAATTGATATTTTTTGTTGCTGATAATGAAGATATTTTATATACATTACTTGTGCTATCATTCTCTTACATGGACATAACGGTTTTTAAAAATGTATTATATCATAAGGAAACAAATTTGTTAAACCTGACATTAAGCAATATCCACCGGCCAAAACAAATCTTCTTTTGGTGATTATGTTTGTTATCTAATATTCATTGTAATTTAATATATTGTAAGTTTAACCAAAATACCAAATACTGAGCCATTGTTTATCAAATACACTATTTTGTGTTAAGAGTTAAACTGAGCATGAGTGTATCTAGACGACCCAAAGCCTGCAACAGAATCTCTTATTTGGTTCTGTACTCGTGTTGACCGGTCTACTATCACACGTGCGTAACTATCCATATATGTCTACATGTGTATCTACATCCCCTATGGTACTAATTAGTAACCATAGATTCAAGCTGATTAATGGATTTAGTTCACGGAGTTGGACGGTTTATATAAAGTTAGTTTCTGGTATAATTTAGACACACAAATTGATAAAAAAAATGTGAATGCAAAAAACTAAAATAAAATAGAAATAGTAATCAGTCAAATAAAAATAAACGTATACCCCTAATTAAAATGCACTGGCTATTAGAATGCTTTCAATTCTATTTTGTTCAAATGATTGTTTTCACCTTTTTTATTTTATGAAAAACCCTGTCACTCACTTCACAATAAATCCCATTTCTTAATGCAGAGAAAATGTATTATTGCAACAATTAATCCAATTGGAAAAATGTTAATATCCACCATATCATTACTTAACGAATTGATGTTTTGTATGTTCTACATAACCATTTGAATAGCGTTCGACCATCTTCAGATGTGGAATATTAGTATACTATTGGTTTTATAAGTTTCACCTCACGTGATGGTTGATACATGAAGGGTTTTGGTTACGGTTAGTTGGTTACTAGGAATTTTTTCTTACTCACACATCATTGAAAATCAATTCCCACCATTTCACGTAAATTATTTAATAACTCATTTTACTCTTAAATTTCTATGCTAGTGGTTTTTAGAAATTAATACCAAATAAAAAAATAATAATATGTTACTATTTAACCAAATCATATGTTTTTTTTTTTGTTAACTAGGACAAGATTGAGTCTTGGGTTTAATTTTCCCCTTGGTTTACAACTAGTCTTTAGTGATACTATTGACATGGCTTAAATCAGTCATCTCACTAGATTTTAAACCAAAAGCACAACACCACTAACGTAGTCGATTAAACCAACTGATTACCACGTCCCATTGTAAAATATAAATTTTAGATCATGTAATTTAAACGTTAGAATTATTGTTCACATTATCTCCTCTTTATTTTGTTTTCTATATATGTTTTGCTGGGTCAACTATTGTGAGCTTTTTAAAAGTTTAATAATAAATAGCTTTATAGCCGTAAGAGTTCCATAATAAACAAACACCACTTTGTATGATCATCATACACTCTCACTCTCCTGTCTTCGTTCCTCGGCGCCGGTGAGTTCTTGAGAGTTTAATATATCTATAATCAATCTAAAAGGAATCATTATATAACTAATAACAAACTTAGTTTCCTTTAGTGGGTCTTAACCCTTTTGCCTTTATTTCCCCTCTCAAGACAAAAAAAAAGAGAGCAACAAACACTTTCCCTCTTAATTTTGTTTCCTCTCCTTCTCTCTCTCTCGATTTCCCAATCATTTCTTTTCATATTCTTGAGTTTCTCTTTTAAACAATCTCAAGCTAAAAAAATGCCCATGGAGGTTAACTTATACCCGCAAGATCCGTTCGGATACCTCTCTAATTGCAAAGATTTCATGTTCCAAGAATTGTACTACCAAGAAGAGGTTGTAGCTCAAGATACGAAGAACATTAACATTGATAACTCAGGACATGAACAGAGCTTTGTGGAAGAACGCCAACAAGGAGACCACCCTCTAATCCCTTCGTTGGAAGAAGAGTCCGGTCTTCTCGCCATTGATATGGAAAAACATCCTCCTATGCAGGAGAGGAGTAAGAGGAGGAGAACGAGGAGAAATAAGAACAAGGAAGAGATCGAGAACCAGAGAATGACTCACATCGCCGTCGAGAGAAATCGCCGGAAACAAATGAACGAGTATCTCGCCATGCTCCGTTCTCTAATGCCGTCTTCCTATGCTCAAAGGGTAATTTACCCTTTCATTAACCTCACTTAATCATTTGGTTTCTATTGTTCATACGTCTTTCAGACATGTGTGTCCTTTGAATATATATTAACATCTAACAACGAAAAAGCATGGTAATAATTATGAATAGAACATAAAAACTATGTGACAGAATATTAGGAACTTTTATACAATTTATAAACAACAAAAAAAGCAATCATAACTGTATGCAGTTAGCGACTTAGCGTGATATGTGGTTATATACTTATGTAACGTTAAGAGATTTGTTATCTTGTATGAACCACCCAAATATACATATATCTCATTTGAATGAGTCTTTTGGTTGTAAAGGGAGATCAAGCGTCGATAGTAGGAGGAGCCATAAACTACGTGAAGGAGTTAGAGCACATCTTACAGTCTATGGAGCCTAGAAGGAACACGACCCCGACCCACGAAGCTGATACAAGCACTAGCTCGTCAGTGTGTCCCTTCTCAGATTTCTTCACTTATCCTCAGTACTCAACAAAGTCATCATCAACAACGGAAAGCTCATATTCGCCGGCGGAGATAGAAGTGACGGTGGCTGAAGGCCACGCGAACGTCAAGATAATGGCGAAGAAGAAGCCGAGGCAGCTTCTTAAGCTCTTAGCATCGATACAGAGTTTAAACCTCACTCTTCTTCATCTCAATGTCACCACTCTCGACAACTCGATTCTCTACTCCATCAGCGTCAAGGTACGTATACATTTTCCCTTGTTTGATTAATGTGGGTTAATCATTAGATTTAGAGTGATTGTTGAGTGGTGCATATAGTTTTTTTTTGCATAAAAAGGTACGTATACTTTTTTTTATCTGAGTGGTGCATATAGTTTCACTTTATTGAATTAACTTTTTTCTTTTTTGTTTCTTATCCTGTTGTGGGGAAAACTGGATTAGTACCAGTATGGTGTTATGTCTGGGCTTTAAAAAGGATTGCAAAGAAAAATTAAATCATTCTTTTTTTTTTGTTTGAACTTAGGCTTAAATTAAATCATTCTCTTTGTATTTTTTTTCTTACTTCTTTTGGTTACTTAGGGCTGGCCTCAATAGTTGTGGGTCAAACTCAACAAAATCATCAGTTTGATGTAATTATTTTAAATAAGTTGAGTATAATCATAATAGTGCATGTAATATCTAAAAAGCAAGGGACCAACCCTAAAAACGAAACACGAATATGAGTCAATTCATATGCATGTGTGTGTAGTGTGGATGTTTTTAGTTGTCATAGAATTGCATAAAATGTGTACGGCCAACCAAGTGAGGCCACCACTTGTTTCAGGATGGATGCATATTAAACTCGTTTCTTAACAAAAAAATATGTATAATATCATAAAATGTACAATTATTTGGTCAGCTTTAACCTTTTCCAAGAATCGTTACATATTTATTATATTAAGAGAAATGAGTTGTTCAGGTTGAAGAAGGGAGCCAACTGAATACCGTGGATGACATTGCAACAGCTTTTAATCACATCATAAGGAGGATTGAAGAAGAGTCCAAATAATCTGGCATATAGATTAAATCATTTAGTTTAAAATGTTTCCTTTTCCTTATATTTATTTGGAAATAATTGAAATACAAACTCATCTAATTTATGTACTCCCTCTTCTGTTTCGCTTTTTTTAAATGTAAGTTGCGTTTTTGACTCCAGTAATGAATATTTTGTATTTGGCCTCTATTATATGTACTTACTATTTGTAAAAGGATTTATCAATTAAATGGATTAAGTGTGTAGGTTGGTTAGTTTTCAAGCAAAAAAGTGTGTAGGTTGGTTAGTGCCATTATTTAGGCGCCAATGACCACCCATATACTGTACTCCTGCCTAGTGTTCTTCTGGTGATCTGTATAACAAAAATAATTTTGTCTCCTTTCTTCAAAAAGCTTTTCATCTTTTACAGGAATTTTGCAATTAAGCGAGTACAACAGTTAACCCTTTAATGATTTATTTTAAAACATTCTCCTGTGATAGAGGACAATTTATACTTTTGGCATCGAATGCGAATAACATACAGTACTAAATAATAAAGTTAAGCTAATAATTCTTTTTCTATAAGTTACATCTTTTTTAAGTTACATTTGGCCGACTATAACAAACATGCATAAACCATCCACCTCGAGATATGAACCATAGGAATTGACAACACTATAAAAATGATACTAGATCAAATTTAATAAAACACCAAAATATTAAATTTTGGTATAATTTCATTTTCAGGATTAAGAATAATCAAATAAACGGAATCTGAAAACATGAATCGAATCTAGTATGATAAAAATAATCTGAACCAAACCAAATCTGATATCAATACCGAATGAGATTTTTTTATGGTATTTGGATTATGAATTTTATATGAATCGCACATATACTCGAATGGATATTCAAGAAAACAAAAAAAAAATCAAATTTCCAAAATAATAATCATATCAAACATGAACTTAGTTCCGAATAAATAATCAGTGCTCTAAGATTTTATTGATTGTCTAAAATAAATATTTATTGCATGAAAAATAACTCAAATATTTAATTTAATATATTTTGGTATGTGATTATTTTCCTTCTTCTATATAATCGTGTTTACGAGGTTCGATTTGTTTTCGGTTCATGTTTATCAAATATGATTTGCACATAATTTTAAAGTTTTTATTCTTTAACTCTATTATATTTAATCTTTAATTTCATTTCTCAAAAATTACAATTTAGCAAAAAATCATGACAAGAATATTTTTCATTTTTCATTTCTCGTTTCATATTTATATTTTTGGTATTTGGTTCACTGAATTTTTATTTGGTTTTCGAATTTTACTAAATATAAAACAATATTTTAGAACCAAAACAACAATTAAGATCCAAAATAGTTCAACCAATTTATAAAAAGATTATTAAACCCAAATCGAATTCGAATCGAACTTTTATAGTATTTGAATAGATTGAAATTCATAAATCCAAAAATCTGAAATTCAATTAATAACCCACAACGGTTTTTTATATATTAAACTAAACTCTAAATAAAATTCATAAATCTGAAAACCTGAAATTCAATTGGTAAACCATGATGCCTTCTTATATTAAACTAAGCGCTAAATAAAACTAAAATTTTGCGTAATTATAGTTAAACTGGGACACAAATCAGCGTCCCTGGGATTCATGGAAGAAGAGAGATGATGATCATTGTCTTATCATGAAGACCCATCAAGAGCATGGGACCTATATTCACTTTTAGGGTTAAAAAGCAATAAAAAGTAGAACTATGTATTATAAGAAAGAAGTAAAAAGTAAAGCCTATATATATGATTCAAAACTTCTTACATGAAAAGCTTTTCATTATAGCTAAATAAGAAAACACATTGAAATATAGCCGACTGTTCTCCTCAACAGCTTTTTCATGTTTTGAGCTAAGATTCACTAACTTGCAGCTTTCTCTTTATTTATTGTACTTACAAATGTATTGGTCCACTCTCTCTTAAAACTAAAAATGGATATGAATCACACATAAAACGGATACGCCAAAAAATAGATGATATGACTAGTTTCTATTTTCTTGTATACACATATTATTTAGATATAAAAATATTCAACTGTTTAGAAACTAAAAACAAGAAAAGGAAAAGGAAGTTAATTTGGAATAAAAAAAACCTTCAACAAAACAAAACAAAATTGGAATAAACATAAGGGTTTAATGGACCTAGTACCTAGGCCTTTTCAGGAAGTTAGTTGATTAGTATTGGGCCGTTTACGTTTGTTTGTCCTGGAGGAGTGAAGTATGGAATGGAAAGTGTTACCTTTCTTTTCTTCTATTCCAAGAACTCCTGGAAATATATACATGTCGAGATCGTAATTAGTTTGCACTATCCTGTAATGATAAATTATAAACGGTCCATGAAGCATGATAAAAATGAAAAATTCACATAATTAATTAGTTACGGTGTCTCGATCATATATTGTCTAATATATTACAACAGATGGAGACCACATTTTGATTAATATGTTGTAGGAGTAAGCCTAAGGCTTTGTATAAAATTTTCAAAAATGCTATATAAATGCAGAGAATTTTTTCTCCCATTGTTAAATTTTCAAGTTCAAAGGGAAAACAGTTATGTAATAAGTCACACAGAGGATTGAAAAACCTTTGTAAAAAAAAATTAAATAAATAAGTCACACAGAAGAGGAACAAAGTCTTTCCAGAATATTTAAAGACCAAAACCTTACTAGTAAATTTAATCGACTAGTTAATTAACTCCAACAAAAGACACCATTTCTTTCCACCATATATACATATGCACAAGTCACAACAAACGTACATGAAAATATGAAATAGTAATCCCTTGCATTTAACAAATCCTAGAAACAAAAATGAGCACACTTCTTTGTTGCCTTGTCCTCATTTCTTTGTTGTCTCATCCGCCACATCCTCCACTCTTACGGTGAACTGGTCCCTTTGAACCGACTACACTCCGCTCGGCAATTCATCCCTTAAACACTCATTGTTTACCTTTCTCTGTGTGTTTACGTATGAAATCAAAAGAAAGCTCAAAAGAAGCCCTAATCCGGAATATAGTCTCATTCTATTGACATGTTAAAATGAATATGATGAAACTATAGTTTCTTTTGCATAGAATATGATATATAGACCGAGAAAAAGAAACCAAACTAACAAACATATTTATCATATATATACACACTAGATTTTGACCCGCGCTTGAAAGCGCGGAAATTTTTTATGATTAAAAATTTATATAATTGGGTTTTGTCTTAGTTTAAAGAATATTTTGATATAAAATCAGTTCACCTAAATTTGTGGTGATGATTATTTTTCATTAGTTTTTAGTTTCAGTTTTTATTTTCAGATTTGAGTTTTTGGTTTTTAGTTTTTAAGTTTCTACTTTTCATTTTCAGTTTTTGGTTTGGGTTTTTAATTTTTAAACCCGCTGAGTTAGTTTGAGCTAATATTACCAACAAACAAATCTCAAATAATCGAACATCTAATTCAAAACTGAAAAGATGACAACAATTTTTTTTTAAAAATTTAAAATAGTTTATTTTGTAAATAAACAAAGCAAAAAATATAACATGTGTTTTTAGCTTTTAGTTTTGGATTTTAGTTTTTAGATTTGTTTTTTTTGTTTTGCTTTACATTTTTTTAATCAGTAAATTATTTAAGAAAAATAAAACAATAAATTATTTAAAAGTTACCATTGAAATTTATCAAAACAAAGTGATTGTTATTTAAAATAAAAAAAAATTTATTAACATGTTTTAAAGTACATGATTTAAATAAATGATTAATAATAGATAATTTTGTTTTGTTACAAATATTAAATATCTTTTGGGTCTGAAAATAATAATTGATTTTTTGATCTTTTAAGGTGAAAAGTTTATTCAATGTTTTTAGAGTTTTTTTCTTAATACTAAGCCAAAAACCAAACTATATAATTTGTTCAAAAAATAAAAGTAAGACCAAAACTATATTCCATAAATAACCACTGGTTTAATTTAAGTATAATTAGTAGATTTCCATATTCTATATTTTGATGATATATATTCTTTTAGAACATTCCATATTTGTAGGAGAAAATATGTGTTTTGGTATACACATAGATACCTGCCATATTTTGAAGGTAGTTTACATTAATGTCGTCTCTTTACATTATTTGTGTTGGTTTAATTTAAGTAATACGGTTTAATCAATTATATGACTTATATTATTTGTAACATTCTAGAATGGGTCCAAATTTAAATGACAACTTGTATCAGTAGATAAAAAGAATGACTCTATTTTAATAGAGTAGATTTATAATAAAACTGTTATATGTAATAATATATTTAATTAATATGACAAAATGAGTAAAAATGTATAAAGTTATACTATCTTTGTGAAACAAATAAAAATCTAGAAACTACAATATAATTGGTTAATATTTAATATTATTTAAAATATATTAAATATTAGCATAAGTATACAACTTACTTTTTTATTACATATATTTTTAATAATGCTTTGACTTTAATCTTAACTTCAATTTGTAATCACAAGAACAAATTTTTAGCATTGTTTAGATAAGAAACAAATAAAAAAGATGAGAGAAAGATTAAATAGTCAAAAATGTAAAAGATTACTAACACTGACGCAGTTTCTATGAAGATGAAAGAGCAACCTTCAAAGATAGTTATTGTGAGTCCGATAAGGTTTACATTGTAACACTTGAAATGGTCTAAGGTGGTCAAGAACTTGTTATATACAGCAAAAAGAGAACAACATGAAGATGGCTCACCAACAATTCCAGCATAAAACCCAATGTCCTCTTCCTTCTTTGCTATGTTAAAAACTTAAAATATCAATCTACCAACACAAAAAAAAGCACACCAGATTCAAATAAGTACGTTACCAAACTTTTTGTGTGACAGAAAAAAAAACCTACGTAAGAAACCTATTGTTGACTATTGTGTGTGGCTGTGTGCACTCACCATAAAGTAAAAGGGTTGAGAAAAAAAGAGAAGATAGACAGAGCTGAAACGATTGAATCAAAACGAAAACTTTTTGTCCTCAGCGAGACTTCATCTAATTATTGTTATTATTGGTATATATCATAATAAATATATATTAAATAAGATTTAAAATAATAATATTAGTTAAACTAATAATTTATCCTAAAATTATGGAGAATATGACAAATCAGCAAAATTACTTCTCAAATAATAGTATAGATATGGATTAACAGTGTTTCAAAAAAAAAAAAAAATATATATATATATATATATATATGTGAATTATCAATTGTAATGGATAACACTCAATATTGCTACAATTGTGTTACTCAGTGTTTAGCTACAGTGCGAGCCACACTGTGGACTAAGTAAGCGAGAATGACTACAAGAGTTGTACTTAGTGAACTCCATTACATCTGATAGCAGCAAAACAATTAACTACCATTAAAACTACTGGTCCTCGCTACTTCATATGTGCAATCCCTAGCCATTGCTCCGCCGGGATGAAGCTCTCCGTCACTGTCGCGGCAGCCTCCTCAAATGGTGTAGGCGGTGGCGCCACCACTACACCCCCCTTTGACCAGAGGTGGTGGTTTCCGTTCCCATGACCTCACATGCAATTCCTTGTGGTGGTTGGGTCGTGTCCTCTCCATTATGGGCCCTCGTTACAACTTGTGCCATTATCTTTTATGCTTTGGATTTGCCGTAGTTAAAATTTCGTTGTACATATGTGTGTTCAGCGTCAGTTACCCAAAATGAATCTTGAAACATGTAGCATGCCTTTAGTCTCCCTTTTTAACGAACTTTAGTCTTTTAAATCTTTATACCCCATACTGAATTTGAACCAATCATAGAGATATGTGTCAGTATGTGAGAGAGCATCTTCTGAGAATGATACTCCTACTCCGGAAAGCATCAAATCCACCGTCTCACCTACTTATAAGCGGGATCTTTAGTATATCTAAGCCGTCCATATAAATAATTTGTAACCACTCCCGATCTTTATACGAACCGACGCAACAGCTTAATAATATCGTTTGTTTTGTGTTCCTGAAGTCTAACTAAGAGATTCAAAAGGTTATTTTTGATTATATATACTCCTATATGCATTTGGATTAGGGATCAAACTTGATTTTAGAGTTTGAATAGTGTTTCTTGGACTAAGAAAAAGAGTTGTTTGTATTGACGTATTGTACGTATCATTGATCTTTATGACATACATTTCACTAAGACATTTTGATATATTATTTACTTTGGTCGATAGTAATGCGGCAATGGCCCATAATTTTTCTTTCTTTTTTCCTAACAACTTCAAAAACTATTTTATTCTATTTGAATAAAATATGGTAAAATGAAACCGGTCACCACTGGCTTTTAGGCTTTTTAGGGAAATATTAAAACAAAAGAAATATCGAGGAAACATCAAATAGAGATCGTAACCAGCTTGCAAGCACCTATAAATAATCACAAACAACACACAAGTTGGCAAGAAGAAGAAAAACAAAAACACAGACTAGGTCACTAATAGTAACAATGGCTAACGTTTTTCTCATCAGTAGCAGAAACAGAAGATCGATACTTACAACAACAGATTCTAAATCCAAGAACCTTAAGGTGATGAAGAGATTAGAGTCTTCTTCAGACAACAGTAGTTACTCATGCAAGAAACATCCTAAGCACAGACAATCTCCTGGAATCTGTTCCCTCTGTCTCAACGAGAGTCTCTCCAAGTTGTCTCTCGATTTCTACGAATATAGTTCAAGCATGAGCTCGTCTTCTTCTAAAAACGTGGCTAAAACGGTGTCATCTTGCTCTTCAGCTTCTTCAGAATCAGAAGCAGAATCTGACACGGAGATCTCTTCTTATTACTCTTCTGTCTCTTCTTGTTTGTCTCCTCTGCAACAACGATACAGTGAGATCGTCGTTAATAAGAAAAAGAAGAAGCATCCGAAGAAACAAAATTTTCTCTCCAGATTATTTCTGTAATTATTATTTACTACATTTTTTGTTTAATTTCATTTTTTTTTTCTTTTATGTGTTGTCACTCCGAAAATGCATGAGTAATAATAGCATAAAATCTCAACAAAATTTTGACACGCAAAAAAGGAAGCTCCAAACAAATAATCATATTTATATATGTCGACTATAAAGTGGAAAATATACATCAAAATCATCTACATTTTCACTTCCGAATTACTACAATTTCTTTTAACAAATTTCGATAAATGTAGAATAAACTATTCCACTAAGGTTGTTCACATCGAAATTTCTAGTGGCCTTTTTGATTCAATATGTAAACCATGTAAAATAGAGAATAAAGATTAAGGCTGTGATTGGTCGGTAAGTGACATTACCAGTTGGCAGAGAGAGAGAACGTGACTGTCGTTAAAGAGGACAAAAAGCGTGTTGTGCTTCATTTATTCAGGTTGGGTATTACAGCTGCTCAAATTTTAGAACTAGCCTAAGCTGTACCATCAAAATATTACAGAAATGCAATAAAAAACTTTGTTTATTCTTTTTCAACAAGCCAATTTAGTTATAACGGCACAAATTGATTATATGGTAATTCCAAGAAATCCAATACGTGTAAAGTCTTTACTTGGAACTCGAAAAGACTTGATCACAGCTCAGTAGATCTATGTTGAAACCTTGCTTGTTATGTTGACTAAGAGCTGTTGTTATTAATACTACTAACAATAATCAATGTTTAAAATAATATAAGGAGATGAGGGAAAAGGTCATGGAGGAGATGGCTGGCTAAATGATAAAAGAGCGAGTTGAGACAGACCCTTTTTTATTGTAGTGAAGGAAATTTGGAAACAAAGGAAGAGCTTAAGCCCTTAATGAACCACTCAACCTAAATGGCTACTCTTGACTGCATTATTTCCATTGAAAGACATGTTCTTAATCCATCGTATAGCGGGAAACATGGTGAGAGTTGTTGAAGGGGCACCGCCAGTATCTTGGTCACCGGAAAATCATCTCTCTGGAGAGGTAACAATTGTGAAATTTTTTGTGTTGTTTTGGTTCTGAGTCGTGTAATCTTTAGTTATTGTCAATTTGTCGTAATTTGTGATTCAGGAAACGCATTGTGTGGTTGATAGACAAAATCGGAAGAAATGAACAAGATAGCCAGAAAGATTGTGAAAGAATCATAGAGTTTTAGAAAACCCGGTAAGCAAACTCCAACACTTTTCATACAGCAGTACCCATATCCATCAGTGTATTCAATCTTTGTTTTGAGTGTTGTGGTTATGATACAAACAAGGATTACCAAGTAGAATGATGAGTTAGTGACATGAAAAGTGGATATATAACAGGACTTGGGGGATTGGTTTCCATGCTTATCAGCATTGGGGTTACATTTTATGATAGTTTTATTCTTTTAGACAGATTATATAGGTTATAGAATTGTAGTGAAACCCCATTTCTGGTGAACTGAGGCAGATGTAATCAAACAGTGTTTAATAATGAATGATAAACCATTTTCTTAATGGTCTCTGGTACTAAAAACTGAAACTTGCCATGGAAAAGCATATAACCAGGCAGAACAAACATACCAGAATCAGACGATCCTCAAAAATTGAGTTTAGCATACAGATAAAAAGAAAATTTTGAGATTATAGTTGTTAAATTCTCACATCTTATGATGAAGAACCAGAAGTGCTGGTTCAGTAAAATCTTATTAAACTCTGTAGTGTAATTGGAGGGACATCATGAAGGTAACATCAAAAGAGGATTCTTCTTGAGGCAGGAGAGTGTCTTTAAAGAGGACCAGGGAAAGTTCCATTCTCTCTTTGCTCGTTCCACTTATCAACCTACAACACACACAGAAAGAGAATCTGTTGAGGTTAAAACTAATTTCATGACAACCTGTAATCACAAAATAGTGAAGCACTGTGTTTAAAGGCCCTTCTCTGACTAATCATCAACATCTACCAAAATTACTAGAAGCACTAAAGGAGTGAAGGAAGCTAAGTAAATACCCATTCGCCGGGGCAAAGAGATCGATAAAACTTTGCAAACTTATCGCATTCTGGAGCCTCGTCACCCTTAGCAGCTACACATCTGGAGTATTGAAAAACAATCAGAAGACTTTAGACATGGAGAGAGAGAGAGATCACAATCCAAGAAAACTACACAAGAACACTGGTTTTTTTTAACCTGTGATACTCAATGTAACGTGTGAAACAATGCCTTGTTTGGTTAGTCGTTGGGAAACGAAAATCAGCAGGCGCTGTCTCAAGCTGCAAAAGCAAAGACACCATATTATGAACCAACACAAGACAGAAGAACAAAGAGCAAAGCCTCTTTTTCTCGGTGGATGGCTAACCTTGATCTCATCAGGAGTCTCCTCAACAACTTCTTCATTACTTTCTTCAACCGCAGCAGGAGTCTCATCAACATTGTCTTCCACTGCAGCAGCAGGAGCCTCTTTAGGAGCCTCTTCAGAAGCAGGAGGAGACTCAGACTTCTCCCCAACAGCTTCCTCAGCAGGAGACTCTTCACTGGCTTTGTCGGTGGTAACCTCTTCAGCTTGAGTAGCAGTAACCTCTGGAGCAACCTCCACAGGCTTTGCACTTGTGTCTTGCTTCACTTCCTTCTCCAAATGATATTGCTGCCCAATATGAACCAAATGTTAAAACCAAATGATACCCAAACATAAAAGATTTGTTCTTTGTAACTAACTTAGCTAAGTTCATAGAAGAAAGAAACAGAGTCAAATCTTGTTTGACCAGTTTCAGAATCAGATCTGACAGATGTGAAGTCAAATGAAAGAGGCACATGACTAATCAAAACCTAAATAAGCTGATTCTTGAATAGATCGATCGAAACGAAGATCGGATGCTGCAATAAGAGATTGAAAACAGAGCATCGGCTAATGAGCGTAGATGAAGAGAATAAATACCTCAGAGAGCGAAGGAGATTGAGAAGCTACAGATTCCGCCATTGAAGTGAGTGAGTCTCGGAGATTCTTCAGATCGGAGAGACAGAGAGGAATCTTTTGATGATAAAACACACTTCTACCGACGACCAGATTGTTTTAGGTTTAGCTTCTCTCAGGACCCTATCTGCCTGTTTCGTTACACACTCAAACGACAGTATTTTGTCATAATTTGCTTTGGGCCTTGAAGCTCCTTTGTCTGCTCTAAGCCCAGTATGATCCGGTAACTTTTTTTTTTTGTCAACTTTGGTCCGGTAACCCTTTTTAGTATGGAAATTGAATAATTTGGGAAACAATAACACTGTCGTTTATGAAGAAAAAGATACAAACGGTATGAAATTATATATGATCGTTTGAGCGCGCGCAATAAAGAGAAAATCACATACGAAAACAATATCCAACAAAGGAAAATTACATATGATAAATTTGTGATATTGCAATAGAAACATATTTGTTTTTTTTCCCAGGCATATTCAGGAACATGGATGGATTAACAGATTCTCACAGAAAATAATTATTTATCCATCCATATAGTGTAGCGTATACAATTCCCTTCCACCAGTAAATCGAAAGCCTTGTTAATTTCCGCAAAGCTCAGCTCGTGTGTAATAAGACCGTCCAGATTAAGCTCCTGAAATTTATTTAAATATAAAAATAAATCACATGTCATCTATATATAATAGGAATCCGAAAGTGACCTCAGTATTTTATTATAGGAAAAAAAAAATTCAATCCAATGGTCATGAATAACTTAATTTTAAAATCTAACGGACCAAAAAAAGACATTTTCCTATGCTTGATGATGTCATCAAATAATTGGCAACTTTTCATTGAAGAGTCATATATTTTCAAAACCATAGATTTAATTATTTTTGTTTTATCTAATTATTTTTTCTTTTGCAACTCCTGAAAATATTTTGATTAATTTAAAAACCAAACACACCTGTTAAATAGAATCCTTAGAATATTTTAATTAATTAAAAATAACACACCTCTTGACAACTTATCAATGTACCTTTTGAAATTACTATAAATAGAAGGGTTATGTTGATGTCATTTTCCAAAAAATTGTGCACTTTCTTTTTCTAATAGGTATCATTCTTAGTACTCTTGCATATAAAATTTAATCACTACATAGATCTTTCTTTTTCTAATATGTATCATTCTTAGTACTCTTGCATATAAAATTTGATAATTATATAGATTTCGACATTTCTTAGAGACTGAAATTTGTGGTTGGAAAAATAAATTAATAGGTAAAAAGTACACGACCATATCTTGTCGAATCATCATTTTACCTTAATTTTCTTTGACGAAATTATTGAAAAAATAAAATCAAATTCCTAAAATAATGATTTGAGTGACAAATGAGTTAAACCTCGGAAACCTACTCAGTATTGTTCGTTTTGTACGATAATAACTTTTTATAGTTGGATTCGTTATCCACATACGTATATATGCTGTTAACCCATGATTTGGTCGTATACCTCTAATTTGATTTTAAGATCTAATGGACAAAAAAAAATTTTTACAATGAGTGTTGATGTCATCAAATTTTAGCAACTCTTCCTTCAAAAGACATCTATCTCAAAGCTATAGTTTTTTTAAGAACCACAATCATACCCTTTCAAAAGTATAAATATTAATTTGGATTTTTATTATTAATATATTTTTTATTATGAGAAGACACATTTTTTATGAAAAGGCACAAGTTTAAATATTAATTGGAGTTTTTTATTATTAATCTATTTTTTATTATGAGAAGGCACAACTCTTCTAACTTATTTTAACTACTTTTAAACTGTTTTGTTTTAAATAGAAACCACATTTTGCTATGAAAAGATGCAACTTTGAAAATAATAGAGTTTTTTTGGGTAGACACAATTTCTTTAAAATGAAAAATACAAAATTTTAAACTAATATACTTCTGTTTTTATGAAAAAAATACAATTCTTAAAATTAAAGGAGTTCAAATTTTTATGAAAAGAATAAATTTATTTATAGCGAAGAAACATAACTCTTGAGACTTAATAGAGTTCATTTTTTTTATGAAAATATATACTTTTTGGAGCCCAGTTACATAAGAAAAATTTAAAATCATAACTTTAAATTATTATTCAGTTTCTTTTTATGAAAAGACACAAGTTTAAATAGTGTAGTTATTATTAATTCTGACTGTTGTTATCAATTAATATTTAACCGTTATATTATTTGTGAAGAATTGTGTTTTTTCATTCTCAAAGGTTGTGAAAAATGTCACTAAAAGTTGCATCTTTCTATTTGTATATACTTGTTAGACTTTTAAAAATTTGCATATTTTACTAATTGTACATTTTCACTTGTAACAGTCCTACGGTTGCAACTTTCTATTATTGTTGTATATATATCTATTCGTTTTAACCGTTAAATTTTCTAAATGTCGCACTTTACCATTCATACCTTTTCAATCTTGGGTCAAAATTTTTATACACAAAAAAATAAAATCCTCGATGTATCACACATACGACGTGATCAAGGAGTTGTCTCCTCCATTGTTATTAATCTTACAGTTTCATCGCTTCTTCCTGTCAAACCCTAGAATCATCAAACTCTAGAATCATCAAAGAAAACCCTACCTCCAAACCATTTTCTACTACTGTCCCTCCCTCTCTTTTTCTCTTCGTCAAAGGTCATGAATACTAAAACTGGACGTATGCATGTAAACAATTTATCTTTGTATAATATGCATGTGTATGGAACAATTTTTTTTTTGTTATTAACCTCACATACAGGTTAAAAGAACGAAAGATCTCTCTCCCCTGAAGAGGGGCGACTGCAAAGGCGACAATTAACGAGCGTTCTCCGATCTTCATCGTGTTACCGGCCGACGTCGGTAGTCCTTTTCTTCTCGTTTTTGTTCTTCTGTTTTATTCACTTTGATTTCTCTATTTCTCCATTCAGATTACAATAATATCACCATCAATGTCTATTTCATGTTTTATTTTGTTGGTAGGAGGAGAGTTCCTTAACCAACAGTCATCCTCTCTAATCCGTTCTTTTAATTGGTTTTCTTTTCTTTGGGAGGAATCAGTTATGATATTCACGATTTTGTTTCTCCAACGCGAATTTGTTTTGGGTATCTCGGGACAATTGAATACGCTTTGGTTTGATATGGATTGCGCTTTGTCTCTGAGTTTCTCCCTCCGGCAGTGTGTTTGTCCGGCGAATGTGTCTCGATCTTCACGTTTCTCGGGTGTTTGTCCTGTCCGTGCTTTTTGGGTCACGGTGGTCTAGCGGATGGGGTATATATCCTATCTGTCATTGTTTCGTTTGCATCTGACGATTTGTTTCTTTTCCAATCAGATGGATTGAAACTTCCATGCATGCCACCACCATTAAGATTGAGTTGGATCTGTATAAAATGTTCTACGATGTGACTGCTGAGTACGAGTGAGATGTCGTTACGTTTGTGGTGGAAAATCTGGTTGGCTAGAGTTTTGAGTTTCTCCCTACTAGCCGGAAAGTCACCATGGCTGGGTTTTCTGTTATTAATTTTAGATTGTTGAAGTATATCTTCTATACACGGCAATTGTCTTCGTTTTTGGAAAATCGAAGAGTAAACCAGTTCGGGTTTTAATATGTTTTCGGGGCATGAGAGGGATGGACTTTTATCACCAAGGATTCAATTCTGCATGTAGATTGAGAAGAAGATTTGGAACTATTTTGCTTGCAGGGAAGAGCTTCTTAATGGAAAACACCATCGGTGAAAGTTGGTGTAAGTTGAAAATTTAACGGCTGGTTTTATTGTATTACAATTATAACTGGTGTTATAG